CTTGGCTATTGTGAACAGAGCTGCGATGAACATAGGAGTGCAGGTACCTCTTTGACATGATGGTTTCCATTCCTCTGGGTATATACGCAGCAGAGGGATTACTGGATCATATGGAAGATCTATCTGTAGTTGTTTGAGAAACCTCCATACTGTTTTCCATAGCGGTTGTACTAACTTACAGTCCCACCAACAGTGCAGAAGTGTTCCCTTCTCTCCACAGCCTCACCAGCATTTGTTATTAACCATCTTTTTGATTATAGCCAGTCTAACTGGCGTGAAGTGGTATCTCAATGTGGTTTTAACTTCTAAGAGGTAACAACACTTAGTGGAAATCTTGACAAATGAGCAAGAGTTAGCCAGGAAAAGAAAAAGAGAGAAGTTCAGGCAAAGGGAATAGCTGTGCAAGGTTACCACAGCAAAATAGAGCATGGCATACTTGAAAACTACAAATAGTAAGAAATGGTTGGAAATGAGAGTGGAGGTGGGGCACATGGGACAGGTAAGCAGAAGAGAAGCTACAGGTACACATGGATCAGCTAAGAAGGGCCTTCTGTGCCAAAAGAATTTTTTTTTTTTTGACCAGTGAAGGGATGGCAACCCTTGGCACGGTGTTGTCCACACCACGCCCAGCCAGTAAGCACATCGGCCATCCCTATATAGGATCTGAACCTGTGGCCTCAGCGCTACCAGCGCCACACTCTCCCGAGTGAGCCACGGGGCTGACCCCCAAAAGAATTTTTAGACGTTCTAAAAATGGGAAAATGATAAAATATATCTAGGAGAATGATAGATAACATATTCAGAGGAAAAGGAAATAAAATCAATTTAGTTTATATTGTCAGTAACTTCCTGGGGTACTCTAGGCATTCAGGACAGGATTCTGGGTAGTGAGATTTCAAGGCAGTAACAGACACCCCACCTGCGGAGGTAGGTTATGGGTTTCCTTCAATTCAAACAGTTGGTTGGCATTGTAATGTGGGCAGCTCAACCCCAAGACATGCCCGGATCTTGGCATCCCAGAACGTATGGCAAGAAGAGGGGAGCACCACCCAACAGATAACGGCTCAATAGGATGAGATGGTAAGTGGGGACAACTGGTCTGGCTGCTGTGGATAATGGTGGCCAGGTGGCCCAATGCCCAATATTTAAGCTCTGCATAAGCACAGACATGGTTCAAACAACTGTTGGTGGCAAGAAGTTCCAGTGTGTGAGGCATGCTGATGAGGGATTCCAGAAGTGGTCCAACTTGGAAGTCAGAGAGATGTGGTCAGCATTTTGAGATCCGCCCTTATGCAGCATAACTACTTCCAGTAGCTGGAGAGGCACTTTGTGCTGCAACTATGCAGATGCTTTCAATTTCCTGAATTCGTCATGCTCTCTGACCTTTGGATCTTTATTCATGCTGTTTCTTCTGCCTGGAATCTCCTCCAACAATTTATCCTTCTCTTGCCAACAAGAACTTACCATGCCTTTACAACCAGCTATTTATATATCTTGTCTCCTCCCCTAAATCATATGCTCCATGAGGATGGGGCTTGTCTGTTTCATTTGCCACTTCATCCACAGTATATAATGCCCAACATATAGCAGTTTCACAATGAGTACTTGTTGAATGAATCACTGAACAAACTAAAGAGAAAGAAGCTAGGGTAAGATCAAGCCCATGACCTGGAGCTGTAGTGAACAACTAGGATTTAGCGCTCTGGTTCTAGAGGAACACTAGTATCTTCTTCTGGGTAACTGTGAAGCATTTGAATGGGTGGGGCCAACACCGAGGGCAGCAGAGAGTACTGTGATGATTCAGGGTACTTGAGGTCCCAGGGAAGGTTATACACAAAAGGAAATTTGAGTCACACTGGGATTAAGCTATAATAACTAGAACTCCTGAATGTGGAAGACACAGACATAATTCCCAGCCCCACAAGTGAAGCTGTCATTGGATGTCCTACCCCTGCAAAGCAAAGGTGGCCCATGATGTGGTCTGAAAATAGATCCTATCAGTAGATCCAGTCACAGGAAGTTAAGCAGAGAAAGGACATGAAGATTGAGAGGCAAAGAGAAACCACACAGAGAATTACGATTGTTACTTTTATCTAATTAGGCTGATATTTCATAACGCTAAAGAATGTGAGGGTAAAATTTAAAACATAATCAAATGGTTTGGAGACCTATAAAAAGGCATGATTTGTATGCAGTCCCCAACAGAGAACAGGATGACACTTTTGTCAACCTGGATTCACCACTTACCTCTGGTTAGTGAGCTTTCTGGTCCTCAATGCCCACATCTGCTAGATGGCATAATGTATGGGAAGTGGCTAGTGCAGGGCTTCACACACGGTAGACCCAATAAGTAGCACCTGTTGTAAATGCTGGCACCAGGACTCAAACTTCAGTGAAATGCCAGAGGGTCCAGTGTCTGAAGGAAGTGCCATGTCACTCGTTCTGTCTATTCTCCTCCCCCCACCACACATACCTTCTCACACACACACACAATCGCCAGAAGATTCTCTGAGGTTTTCTTCAAGTGAGGGAAAGACTGCTAACCATCTACCAAGGGGCACATGTCTATGAGCCTACGCGCTGCACACTAAATCAGTAACAGTTGGGCATCCATATGTGTAATCTAACTTGGAAATTAGGGATGATAAGACATCGAGGACCAGACACTGCTATCTCCCAATTTTTGTTGGGAACCTCTCAAAACAATTTTTTCTTTAACTATATTAGGGTCTTTAATCCTGGCTGCACATCAGAATCACTTGGAGTCCTTTTTAAAAAGTATAACACTGAGATTCACTCCCAAGCCAATTAAATTAGAAACTCCTGGGAATGGAGCTCAAACTTGGGGGTTATTTCTAAAAGTCATCAGGTGATTCTAATGAGCTAATTCAAGTGTAGTGGCCTGTGGCACCACAGCACTGGCATCACTTAATAGCTTGTTTAAAATGTAGGATCTCAGGCTCCACCCCAGACTGAATCAGAGTCAAAACTGACTTAGAATCTACATTTAAACGAAACTCAGGGTGATTCCAAATCACATCAAAGTTTGAGAAGCAACAGCTGATATCAGCGATTCTCAACTCTGGCCACACAATGTAATTATCTAGAAGACTTTTTTTTAAATGCAGATTCTTGGGCTATACCCACTGAGACTTTAATTTAATTGGTTTAAGGAGGACCCAGCATCAGCGTTTTGAAAAATCACTGCTGGGTCTATTGACTTACTTTGAAAGCAGCCAGCATTGAGAACCATGATACTATGTAGGCAAAGCCTCATTGATAAGTTGAATTCTCCGCAAGGAATGCCTTCACAAAGGGGACTGTGAAAGATGAGGTTTAACAACATTCTGTTTCCTTTCTCCATGATTACTTCAAATTGGTACAAATAACACATTCAGTCTAACACGGGCTATTCTAGCAACATGTTTAAGAAATGTCTAGTTCATATGTCTCTTTTATAAACATCTATGTAAATTTGTATTTTCTATTTTCTCCTTTTCTAACTTTTATAATTACTAGCTCTCTTTGCATAATGACAATACCAAGCTGGAATATGCTACTCTTAGGAACATGACTCATATTCGAGTTTTACTCAGTGTAAATCATTTTAAATATTTATATTAAAACAAACATGGAAATATTATAGGATAGAATATACATTTCTTGTGAGTTCTACAGATAAAACACAAGATTTCAAAGAAATTTTGCTCTTTTAGCAGGCACTTCAGGCTATGTCCCAGACCTCTAGTGGAATGGATTTATTCTCCATCTGCCCTTGGGACTAGTTTAGGGGGAAAGTTTGAAGAGCACTGAACCAATGGAATTATTTGAAATGTGACACTCTTAGTTGATTTGGTTGCAAATCCTCAGCAGTTGGAGCATCTTGGCTTATCTCAAATGCTAGGAATACTGTAACATTTGTCACTTCAATCCCAGCCAAGGGTCAAATGCTGTATCACACATGGAAGCTAAAATAAATTCTAAAGGTTGTTTTTGTGGTTGACTTAACTTTATTCACATGATAGCTATAGGGGCTGACAAAGATTTCCTCTAACATTTCTTCTGACAGGTTGAATTAGGGTTTGGTTGCAGACAGCGTGGGTTGAAAGGGATATGTGATGAGACAGATCAGGGGCTCGTTACATCCTACATCATCATGAATCCAGTTTAATTTTAACCTTGTGGCTTGTCTAACACATTTGCAGCAAGAGTTGGAGAATAAATCTAATGCTCACTGGCAAGCACTTGACAGCCCTTGAGAGCAGCATCTTTAAAAAACACAAGATCAATCCTAGTGCTGGGACAAGTCAGACATTGTGAGTGCAGGTCAGAGGTGCCTTGGGGTGCCAAGAATGGCATCCCACAACAATGACAGCAGCGCAATCTCAGGGCATACAGCAGGCAGCTCTGGAGTGTCTCGGTCAATCCCAGGAGTGTGGCATGGCCTCTCAGGACTGATAGGACCTCACAAGGAGCCATATAAGGATAACCGTAATCAGGACAACGGTGAAGTTGAGACACAGCTCCCGGGTGGATCGCTCCATTCTCAGAGTGGCTTGGTGAGAATGTCAGGCAGACTTCTGAGGACACACTGAAGACTTCTGCTTGTCCTCACCTCCTAACAGAAAGGAAGAAAGAAAACACGGGATTAGTGAGTGTTCCTATGAAACAACTCTTGTTCTTTCCTCAAAGGAAATAGAAGTGTTGTGGAAAAGAAAAGTATTGTGGGCTGAACTGTGTCCTCCCAAGAATTCGTATGTTAAAGACCTAGCCCCCAGTACCTCAGAATGTGACTGTATTTGGAGATAGGGTCTTTCAAGAAGTAATAAAGTTAAAAACGAGGTCATTATGTTGGGCCCTAATCCAATATGACTAATGGCCTTATAAGAAGAGATTAGGACACAGATTTGTACAGAGGGAAGACCATGTGAAAACACAGGGAGAAGATGGTCACTTGCAAGCCAAGCGAAGATGTCTCCAAAAAAACCAACCCTGCAGACACCTTGATCTCAGACTCTAGCCTCCAGAATGTCTTTGGGCTACTTCAACTCTTCCCTGCCAGCCAATCCTGAAGATTTTGGACTTGCCAGCTTTCACAATCACATGAGCCAATTCCTTAAAATTATATACACACACACTCTGTTGGTTATGTTTCTCTGAAGACCCCTGACTGATACAGAGAGCCTGGCTTCTCTGCCTGAAGTCATAAAGACCAACATTTTTGTCCTGATTTTTTCCTGTGATGATTGTGTTGATGCTCTTCATAAAATACAAAATATTACATTTTTGTCTCTTCAATTTCTGTGTTTTTGTGTGTGTGTGTGTGTGTTTGCTTTGCTAACTTAGAGTATCAGCAAGCAGGGTCACCAAAATAGAAAATGTTACAGTTTAGTATTGTTCTTGCTTTGAATTACATATACAAGGGTCACACCATAATCTTTCAGGTTACAGGCTGCTGTAGGTCTTCTTCCAACCCTGGAGAAAGCATGAAATTGTTTCAACAACTGCATGGCCTCTTACAAGCCCTGCATTGGGCACAGAGCCTACCGGGGTCAATCAAAAGTCCCTCACACAACGGGCACTCAGTCCAAAGAGCAAGTGTTAACCTTATGGGTACTTCTGTTTCAACAAGGGCTTGTGCCAGCTATTTTTAGTCAGGTCCAGGATGTGCCTAGATTGTAAACACTTCAAAGAGCAGGGATGGTATCTTCACAGTGTGTACAGATTATACATGCAGAAAATCATACTATAAAAACATATGTAACTCAGTCAATCAAATCATTACCTTCAGTGACCAGTGACATAGTATAATTGGCACTTTGCTTATGCAATCTAAATGAAATTAAAGATTTCTGCATTTTATATATTTTAGATAATTTTAGATAACTATATATCTATATTTTAGATATTTAGGAGAAAATCTACTATGAGTGAAAACGTTTGGCAGAAAGGGTGTTTTGTTTGTTTGCAAAGGGTGGGAGTTCAAGGGACTGAACGGGTTGTTAGCAAGCTTCTGGCCTGAATGGTATATTTAACCATCTAACCTGACTGAATTATTAATTGTAATTACTGTATTTATTGTTCTATCAGTGGACCAAATTATTAGTTGTATAAGTTTCAGCTGAATAATCATTTTTCATATTATTGTTAGACCTTAGTTTAAATATGGCCCATGATGACAGATTTATGTTTCATTTCCTTTTTAATACTTATCCATCTTTTGGCCATCAGCATGAAAGAAATAGTAAATTGCCAATGAAAATCTTTACAAAGATTTATTTGGAGGAGAAAGTTAACAGAAGAAAATAAATAGATAAAGGAAGAAGAAGGAATATGTCTGAATGCACATAAGAGCAACGGGTAACAGGACAGTCATGAGTCCAGTCAAGCAGCCTGGGGGCAAAGGAATGAGAGTCAAAGACAGGCTCTTCCTCATGAACTTAACAATGAAATCAAAAACTGGTCCAAATGCCCACTTATTTGGGTAAGTTCTCAAGAAATGCAGAGATATACAGAAAATATAAAACCCAGTTTATAACAATCAAAACGCCCTAATTTAGGGAGAGCGAAATAACTGTTTCACCAACTCTGCTTATTAGATTAAGCTCTTAAATAAATGAAATCATGGATAGGTGTCCAACTAGAACATACTCAGAAAACAAGGACAATGCTATGGAAAGCCGTTCCACAGCTCTGTTCATGTTACCTTCACAACAACTCGGGCAAATTATTGCGATTTTTATCATTCCCAAGATTACAGCTGAGAAACTGACTTTTAGAGAGAGGTTGTTTGTATAATGGCACATAGCAAGTTAGAGGTAGAACTAGGACTGGCAGAATAGAACTAGTTACTAGAATTGTGGCCACTCCACAGGAGTGATCGCTTATTACTACAACTATTTAGCCTGGCTAAACAAAGTTAATGTAAATGTTCAAACACTTTGGAAAAAAATTTGACATTTTTTTGTTAAGGTTGAAAATGCTCATTCCCTAATAGCAATTTCACTTCTACCCTAGGTACTCACGCACATATGCACCAGGAAACATATACAAGGATGTTCACAGCAACTTTTTTTTTTTTTAAAGATGACCGGTAAAGGGATCTCAACCCTTGGCTTGGTGTTGTCAGCACCACGCTCTCCAAAGTGAGCAACCGGCCATCCCTATATAGGGATCCGAACCCGTAGCCTTGGTGTTATCAGCACCTCACTCTAACGAGTGAGCCACGGGCCGGGCCTCACAGCAACATTTTTACAATAACCCCAAACTGGAAACAACTCAGATGTTCATCAACAGTAGAACAGATGATACATTGTGATTTATTCTTCTATTTGAGTACTATAGAGCAAAGAAAATATATAAACTCTAGCTACTCACAACAAGATGGGTGGATCTCACAAACATAATTGTTGGGTGAAAGAAGAATTTACAAAAGAAACACAGACTATGACTCCATTTATGCAAAGTCAGAAACAGGGAACTTAATCATATTGTTTAAGAATGCAGACACAAACGGTAAAACTATAAAGAAAGGTAAGGACAAGATGGGGCAGAAAGACAGAAGGGGGAAAGGATCAGGAATGGACTTCTGAAGTGCTGGCAATGAGCCATTTCTTGACCTGGGTGATAGTTATACTGGCATTGCCTTATAATTATTGTTTAAACTGTATATATTTATGCACACATATTTGTTAGTCATCTCTGAATGAACAGGCTACCCATCGCACTTCTTCCTTTCCTATGCTTTACCTCTTACTATTTCTTGCACTTTAATGGTGACCTTAAATATCTGTTGTTTTATGTGTTTTTAAATGAATAAAACATAAAGAGCTAAGGTGGGATTTTCTAATGAATCCAATTCAACCAACACATATACCAACTGTAAGGTGTGGACTTGACTTTGACACACATTTATATCCTTTAAGAAGAATGAACCAAAGTTAGGCAGAAATTCAGATCAGCAAAATTCTTTTTTTCTGCTGTTAACCCATAAAGATGGTTTTGGCTTCATTGTAAACCTTCTCTGGAGTCAAGTTCACGCCATATGATCCAAAGTGATTGCCATATGGATGAGCTAAAAATCAAAAAGGCTCTGAATAAATTGTACAGGAAGTTTGACACTGCTTTCTTTGAATGGAGACTTTGAGAAGACAGAAGACAGACTTTCTTCTATGATATGAAAAAAATGGTTTTAAATAGGAAGGGAGAAAATTGCCATGCAGAGGGAAAAAAAGGAAATCAGGAATCAATTCACTTTACATCTTAAGAAATACTGTATACAATGGGCATTGACTATTTCATTAAGAAATGTAAATATCTCTCTGCCTTTCTCTTTTGCAACTTGTCCCCCCCACCCCCACCCCACCCCCCACACACAATATGCTAGGCATAAAAATCCTGCTGTTACCTGAAGAGGGTCAAGGACACACCCTGGCTGCGGTAGGCTTCTCTTCGCTGTCTCCAACTTGAGCTCAAACTCCTGCTCCCCTCCCAGGCTGTCTGCACTCCTGGACTCTGGGCAAGCCCTAAAGTAGTCCAGGGGAGGTGGCAATCACTCTGATGTCACTGATGAAACATCTCGAAGGAACAACCTCCTAAGGTTCGAGGCTATTTGTGCTCAAGGGAACATAGAAATGTGTTGACTAAGATTGTTCCTTTGGCCGCTGATTTGTATTAACACCACAGGGACTTAAAAACCTGTTTCTAGTTGACTTTTAGTGCAATTGATGTGGATTTTAAATTTATCTTTTACATCTTTACAAGAATCTTTAGCATGTCTTTAAAACATCATAAACCAAGAGCGATAGACTAATTTTAACAAATCTATGCTGCATGTGGCTGCTCTCCCAGCTCAGCATGTGAAGGTGTAAAAATGTGACTTATTTTACCACCTATTTCTTTAGCTATTTAAAATGTGAAGAGTTCTCTGCCTTGCACCCACACATGCACACACCACACAGTCCATACCACACAAACGCACACACACACTCCAGAATTTAATAGGCATCTTCAGCTCCTTCAAAACTGACTTTAGTCCAAGCAGTGAAAGCTATCCCCTCAGTCACCTGCTCCACATAACTTTCCAGCTAAGCTGTGTATTGCAAGTTTACACTTTAATCTACAGTTTCATCTGAAACAGCTGAGGAAGCCACAGTTTGTACAAGGGTACTTCAAAAAGTTCATGGAAAAATAGAACTAAAAGATAATACAAATCTTTCCACGAAGATTTGAAGTATCCTCTTATAAAACAGCTGAGGAAGCCACAGTTTGTACAAGGGTACTTCAAAAAGTTCGTGGAAAAATAGAACTAAAAGATAATACAAATCTTTCCACGAAGATTTGAAGTATCCTCTTATATCTCAGTAAAACAGCAGTAAACTCCAACAGCAAAACTCAGTCATTTGGATAAATTGGAGGTGGAAAGAGAAAAGGGCAAAATTAGTGAAAAATGTGAGTTATGGAATATATCTGAAAGAAGTAAAGTTATCTAACTTTCAGATATAAACACTGACTAAAATTAAACTAAGATGAATTTGTAATCAACAATCAGATGTTTGGAGGAAAATGGAGCCTCAGAAGTGTTTCACGGGCCTTGAAAGCAGATCAGCTAAGCACTTTGTGTTTGCTCAGCAAATCTTTTTTTTTTTTTTTTTTTAAGATAATAGAGTAAATCTCCCCTGTGAATTCCCAGTTAGGGTTCATAAAAATAATGCATTCCCGGGAGGCATAAACAAGCAAAATTCTCTATATAGTTGTGTTCACAGTCAAACCTGTCCCACCATTCCTCATACCCCAGAGACATTACTATAAGAAAGACTTACTTTCTATTCCATTTCATTTCAACATAAACCCAACAATATATCTTAATACAACATTCTGTCAGCACTTGCTTTGTAAAAAGATAGCTTGCTGAAGTGACAGATAGTGTCTAATAATTATAGTACAATCGAACATTGGCAGTTATCTGTTGCCATCTGGCAAAACTCCTTGAATTTTAGTCAGATTTCTGTCTTTTGCCTCCAAGCCCCTGCCAGATTGTTTCAAATGCCAGGAATGTTTTCCTAGTCCCTTTTTTAACCACTCAAAATTATTTTTTATCCAATTAAAAAGTTATACATTTATCATAGAAAATTTGAAAATATATAAAAGTACAAAGAAATTTTAAATTACCTTTAAT